GCATCTGATCCACTGTGAAGTGAGGCCTGCATTGCTTCCCAGCTCCTGCCCACCCTCCAGGACTGAGCCCTGTGTCCTGCCCTCTAGTAAGCGTCTCTCTCTCTGCTCCTCAGCGTCCAGAGCACACTTCCTGAATCTGTGCAGTCATTACACGCATAGCCTTTGGAGACGCACTGGAGCCCACAGGCATGGGTTTGAATCCCAGCTCTGCCACTTGCTGGCTGTGTGACCTTGGGCAAGTAAGTGTCTTTACCTCTCCACGCCACCCATTTATAGTCATCCCTGTCTCAAAGAGATTAAATGAGTTGATGTGAGGGCACAATAAGAGCTTTCTGTGCAATAGTTCAGTGAGCTGGTGAGGTGTTTTCATTGTGCAAATGAGAAAACAGCCACAGCTAGTGAGAGGCAGGCAGTCCAGCCTTAACACCTTTGCTTCCATTGTTTCCGTTGTTTCTCCAGCCCTGAGCCACTGTCAAGTGCACACCCAGAACTGTAAAAATCCTACCCAGCCTCAATTCTATCTCGTCCATGAAGCCTCTGATTTTTTACAATTGACTTTATTTTTGAATAGTTAATATATCCAGGTGGCTCAAAGTTCAAGAGTACAAAGGGCGTGCGACAACCAATAAGCCTCCCTCCCTCCTGCCATCCAGCTACCCAGTCCCGCTCCATTGGGACCGCTTCAGCGGAGACCGCTCTGTGTCCCCTCCTGACTCGGACCAGGCACGTGCTGGTAAATTCCCACACGTGTGTGCTCTTCTTGTACGCAAGTGGTAAAGTACACTAGATGCCATTGTGTGCCTGCCCCACCTCCACTTACCACCTTGTCCCCTATTAGTACATAGGGAGTTTATTCTTTAAAAAAAACCACAACACATTTTTATTGAATTATAATTTACATAGCATACCTTCATCATTTAAAATGTACAATTCAGTGGCTTTTAGTATATTCACAGAGGTGTACAACATTACCACAACCAATTTTAGGACATTTTTATTACCACCACCCCAAATTCCATACCCATTAATAGCGACTTTGTATGTCTTCCCAAACCCCAGCCCTAGGAAACCACAATTCTACTTTCTGTTTCTGTAGACTTTCCTATTTGGGACATTTCATATCAATGAATCATACAATATGTGATCTTTTGTGACTGGCTTCTTTCATTTAACATAACATTTTTAATGTTCATCTATGTTGTAGCATGAGTCAGTACTTCATAACTCTTTATTGCCCAATAATATTTCATTGTATGGATAGACCTTGCTTTACTAACTCATTGATGGACACTGGGATTGTTTCTATTCTTTGGTTATCAATAAATAATGCTGCTATGAAATTTTCACATAAAAATTTTTGTGCAGATGAATTTTTTCAGTTCTTTTGGGTACATACCTGGGAGTGGGATTGTATGGTAACTGTATGTTTAACCTTTTGAGGAACTGCCAAACTTTTCCAAAGGGGCTACACTATTTTACATTCCCACCAGCAGTGTATGAAGGTTTTAATTTCTTCATATTCTCATCAACATTTGTTATTGTCTGTCTTTTTATTATTACTGATTTTGAAAGAGAGAGAGAGAAAGAAAAAGAGAGAGAGTGAGAGAAACATTGATTAGTTGTTCTAGGGACAATGCCCTAACCCACTGAGCTTCCCGCAAGGGCTATCTTTTTTATTATAGCCATTCTAAGAGATGTGAAGTAGCATCTCATTGTGACTTTAATTTGTATTTCCCTAATGACTAATAATTAAACATCTTTTCATGTGTTTATAGCTATTTGTATAGCTTCTTTGGAGAAATGTCTATTCAGGTATTTTTCCCACTTTTCAATTATGTTGTCTATTTATTATTGAATTATGTTACTTATATATTCTGGATACCAGCCCCTTATCAGATCTTTGATTTGCAAATATTTTCTCTCATTCTGTGGGTCATCCTTTCATTTTTTGAAATTCAATTGGCCATAAATGTGAGGATTAATTTCTGAACTCTCAATTCTCTTCCATTGATCTATATGTCTATCCTATGCCAGTACCACACTGTCTTGATGACTGCAGCTTTAAAGTAAGTTTTTTTCTTTATTGTTGCAAGTATTACAAAGCCCCTCTTCCTCTCCCATTGACCCCCTCTACCCGGCTCCTGCGCCCTCCCCAGGCTAAAGTAAGTTTTGAAATGAGGAAGTGTAAGTCCTTCAACTTTATTTTACTTTCTCAAGATTGTCTTGGCTGTTTGGGTTCCTTGCATTTCCATATGAATTTTAGGATAAGCTCATCTATTTAAAAAAAAAAAAAGAGAGAGAGAGATCTGGGGTTCTGATAGGGATTATTCTCTCTGTCAGTTTGGAGAGTATCTTCATCTCAACAATGTGAAGTCTAAGTCTTCCAATCCATGAAGGGATGTCTTTACCATGAGACGCCTTTCCTATCCCATGAGATGACTTTATTAGGTCTTCTTTTCTTTCAAGAATGTTTTTTAGTTTTCAGAGTACCTTGCATTTCTTTTTTGTTAAATTTACTCTCAAGTATTTTATTCTTTTTGATGAAATTGTAAATTTGTTTTTTTAACTTTATTTTAAGATTGTTCATTAGTAGTGTCTAGAAATACAATTAGTTTTTATACATCTTTGTATTTTTTGATAAGTGCTTGGTATCCCATTATTGTATTACCGTTATTTTCCCAATCCCCAAGTGGTGGATAGGTTATTTCCAGTCCTTTCCTAGTAAAATCAGTGCTGCAATGACTCTCCTTGTACATACTCATGAAGACTTGGGCATTCAGATTTTGTCTCTTTCTCTCTGAGCTCCTACAATCGTCAGTTGCCACCATCCCAGCTGATGCCACCATCATCTTGCCCTTGGATGACTGCCTGGGTCTGTTCACTGGGTTCCCTGTTTCCCCCTGGCCCCTCTAACCCATTCTCCACCCAGCGGAGATCCCACTGACTCACTGAGGTAAACACTATTGTTATTCCCATTTGACAGATGAGGAAACTGAGGTCAGAGAGGTGACGTGATTTGTGCTGTATCCCTCAGTTGACACATGATAGCGCCAGGGTTTGAACCCTAGTTTGACTCCAAAGATGCAGCATTTAGCACCACTTCTTGTGATCAACTATGTTCTCCATGACAATGAATGAATGAATGAGTGAGCAGGCAAATGTTTGCTCCTCAAATACTGGTAAGGCGGTGTCTTAGGATAAAATTTGTAATTGTATAAATAGTCTCTGATGCTAATATATGGTGGCAGTTACACAGGGGTATACATTTGCCAAAACATATCAAGCTGAATATTTCTAATGATACGTTTTATTTATAAAAGCATTCCAGAGTAAAGTTGTCAGGAGCTTTGGGAACATGTAAAGGATTTATATTGCAGCATTACTTTAATAAAAAATAAACAAGGCGCGGTGGGCTGTTAACAAAAGAATGTTTCAGCTATCTATGGCCCTTTGCCAACACAATGGCAAACTTGTGGAAAAAGATACAGCCGATGCTGACGACGACGCTCTCTTGTCCCCAGAACCTGCATCTCTCTTCCTGGAGGCCCGGCTTCCCCCCCTCCCCCCTCAATTTTCCACGTCCTCTGACCTGCGGAGAAACCGGCCGGGAGCGAGCCAGGGCGGCTCCTGCGGCCGAGGCCCCCCTCGCAGGGCGTTTGAATAGCCCGGGTCCAGTGCAGCAGAAACCCAAGGGCCTGGAGGTTCGGGACTCGGCTGGGGGCGCCGGGCTAGAAGGACGGCATGGGGACGGCGGGGGACACGGCTCAGAGAGCTGGGGAAGGGGGGGCTGGAAGCCTTCAGAGTGGGGTTAGAACCCAGGGTCCCTGGAGAACAGGGCTGGAGTCTGCAGATGGACCGGATTCGGATCCTGGAGGGCGGATTCAGATCCTTTGGGAGCAAGGCTGGGATCACTTAGCAGTGGGCCTAGAATTCCAGGGTTAGGGTTATAAATAGATATATTTTAAATTTATTGCTGACAGTGTTACAGATGTCCCTGGGCTAGGATCCTTGGGTTGGCTGAATTAGAATCCCCGGGGCAGGGTTAGAAACCTTTGGTAGGCGAGGTTAAAGATCCTTCAAACGTGGGATTCAAAACCGTCCAGGGCAGAGCCAGGATTTGGGGAGGAAGAGACCGGTGGGCGTGTGAAGGTTCTTGGGGGACGGGTTAAAATCCTGGGGGCGGGGTTTAATCCCTTCAGGGACAAGGTAGTTTGTTGGGAGGCGGAATTAGAATTCATTGGGGGAGGTGTTAGGATAGCTGGGGGAGGGCGACGGGCTCGGGACCTTTGGGGGAGAGATTAGAATTCTTGGGGGCGGGGTTATTGTCCGTCGGG